GCGGGCAGAGCGTCCCCGCTGGCAGGTGGGGTGCGGCGGCGGCGGAGGGCCCTGTGGGGAGGGGGGGGTCCCCGGGGGTGTCAATCTGTGGGGGGTGGTGCGGGGCTAGGGCAGGCACGGGAAGGGGGTCCCGGGGTCGTCTCAACTGCGGGAGGGAGGCCCGGGGGGGTCCGTGGGGGGCCGCTGCCGCCTCACGCCGCCCCTCCCCAGGATAGCGCCATGGCCTCCCGCGGGGGTCCCCGCGCCGCCGGCACCGACGGCAGCGACTTCCAGCACCGGGAGCGCGTGGCCTCGCACTACCAGATGAGGTGGGTGTCCCGCTGCTGCGGGGGTAACGGCGGCCTCCCCCCTTCTCCCCCGGGGGGCCGAGGGGAGTCCCCCCGCCTTGGCCAGGCCCTGACGGCCCCGCTCTCTCCCCAGCGTGTCCCTCAAGTCGGAGATCAAGAAGCTGATCTACACACACGTGGGCATCTGGCTGCTGCTGATGGCCCAGATGTGCGTGGGGCACCTCAAGCTGCTGCCCCATGACCAGGTGGCCATGCCCTACCAGTGGGAGTATCCCTACCTGCTCAGCATCCTGCCCTCCCTCCTGGGCCTCCTCTCCTTCCCCCGCAACAACATCAGCTACCTGGTCCTCTCCATGATCAGCACCGGCCTCTTCTCGGTGGCTCCCCTCATCTACGGGGCCATGGAGATGTTCCCCATGGCGCAGCAGCTCTACCGGCACGGCAAAGCTTACCGCTTCATCTTTGGCTTCTCGGCCGTCTCCATCATGTACCTGGTGGTGGTGGTGGCTGCCCAGGTGCACGGCTGGCAGCTCTACTACAGCAAGAAGCTGCTGGACTCCTGGTTCACCAGCACGCAGGAGAAGAAGAAGAAATGAGCCGGGACGGGTGGGCTCCACGAGGGCCGGAGCTCTGCAGCCGGGGCCGTGCAGCTCCGGTGGGTGGGTGTCCACGGGGACCAATGTTGGGTGTCTGAGCCACGCCACGGCTCACGGGCAGGGATGGGGGTGACAGCCCCCCGGGGCTGGGGCGTCTCCCGCGCCGTGGAGGGTCCCCGTTGCCCGCCCCCC